ACCCAAGTAAAATAGTCATCTTTTTTCCTAAATAGCTACGTATAATGTTGCCTTACATATAATAGGCAATAAAATGTTTAATAGCCTAATGTGTTTTTGTAAAGATTTAGTATAGTTGTTTATATTTGCATGTATTTTTCATTTTAATTTAGTTTTAGAAGTGTTTCTGACTTGCTTGTGTTTTGTTTTCTTTTTTAGTGAAAATGTTCTCTTTGGAATGGGAAATCCTCTTCTTGACATCTCCGCTGTGGTGGACAAAGATTTCCTTGATAAGTGAGTATTAAACTCTTTGTACGCACAGTGCAAAACTTGTGTTTGAAGAACTGACAAGAACTGTAGAAACCAGTTTACCATTTTCAGCTAGAGAAAAACTCAGGAAATTTAAATCTCTTAGTAGCAGGTGCTCCATCATTATTGATTAACTGGCCACAATTTTCCTTTGGAAAACAGATATATTTTATTCATCTTTACTGTTTTGAAGGAGGAAGTACTGTGTGTATGTAATGACTTCCTAAAATTTTAAATAACTGTTAGTGAATACATTTGTAATTGTCTTAGTTACTTTTCTGTTGTTCCTCAGACAAAATACTTGACACTCAACATTAAGGGAAGAAAAGTTTATTTAGCTCACAGTTTGTGGCGGTTTCAGTCCATACTCAGCTGGCCCCAAGGCAGGGTGGCATGGCACAAGGCCAGCAGTCCAAGGGGGCAGAAGACAACAAGAGCAAGAAGGAGGGGAGCTAGCTTCTTTTCCTCCCTTGTATTGTGTGTGGGCTATCAGCTCAGGCCCTCACCATCTCCTTGTCCCCCTCTTCCACAAGCTGAGGATGTTTACACAGTAAGGATGGTGCCCCGCCTGCCCTTCACTTAGTTGAACTTTTAAACTTCTCAAGTTGACACAGTGAACAACATCCTAGAGGCAGGGGCATGTCCTTTTCACCCCAGGATGTAGAACTGCTGAGTCACTTAGTTAAGCTTCTAGACACCTCAAATTGACACAGCGTATCAACCATAACAGTAAAGGAACCATAACACAATGGCACAGGAAAGAAAGATGGTAAGAATGGACAAGAAGTACAGTGTACACAAGAGCTGGGGATAAAGCTCAGAGGCACAGGGTCTGCCTGGCAAGCACAAGGTCCTGAGTTCTGTTACAAAGTCCTGTTACAAAATACACACCCACACACACACACACACACACACACACACACACACACACACACAGAAGCTGGGTACCTTGGCTACGCAGGAGGCTGAAGCCGGAGGGCTGCAAACTTGAGATAAGTTTGTGTAACTTAATGAGATGCTGTCTCAAAAAAAAAGGTGTAATTCAAAGGCTCTGACTTGCCATTATTTCCCTCTTAGTAACAAGTTTTAACATTGTTAGCTGAGAAATCAGTTTATTTATGCAGTTATTTGAGATCATTTGGTATGTGGAAACATGAAGTAGTAGAAAGATAAGGATGAGAAAGAAGAATCTCTCTGTCTTTGCCGAAGGTTCTCTCTCTGTCTTGGCTCCAAATTCTGACTGTTGTGCTCGCTTCAGCAGCACATCCACCAAACTCTGAGCCCAGGAACAACTGCTTTTTAATTGAACTAAGATTTATATAATATAAAATTAATCATGTTGGCCATTTTCAAGTACACAGTTCAGTGACTGCCAGTGTATTGTGCACCTATCATCAGGATATTCCAGACGTTTTCATCACGCTGAAATGAAACCCCCATTCATTAAAATGGAATCATGTGATAATATGTGACCTGTTATGTTTATATTGGTTTATTCCTCCTAGCACAATGCTTTTACTGTCCACTTAATGTTGTAGGTCTTCATTCCTTTTCGTGGTGTAATAACATCCCACGACTGTATGGATATGCCCAATTCTGTTTCAGCATTCATTGGTTGGTGGACACTTGGGTACTTTCCATTTTTGTCTAGTGTAATGAAACCCATTTTTGTCTAGTGTAATGAATAGTGTTGCTTGTTACCATTCATGAACAAACTTTTCTGTGGAATCTTACTTTCCTTGGGTACAGCCAAAGCAATGGAATTGCTGGGTCATGTGGTCATTTTGTTTTAACTTTTTGAGAAACCAACAAAGTTGTTTTCTACAGCAGCAGTCTCATCCTCCCCAATAGTTGGGATTACAAGTGTGTGCTACTGCACCCAGCTCATTTTAAAATTACTGCCTTCCTAGTGGATGTGAAGTAATACCTCATTATGGTTTTCATTTATGTTTTTCTTTTCTTATTGTGTTTTGTTTTGTTTTGTTAGACAGGATCATGCTATGTTGTTTAGGCTGGTCTTATGCTCACTATGTAGCCCAGGCTGGCCTTAAACTCATGATGATCCTCCTTCCTCAGCCTCTTAAGTGCTGGGAATACAGGCAAGTATCCCCAGAAACGCAAATTACAGGCTGATTTGTGTTTTCTTAATGACTAATAATATTTGTGTCTTTTCACCATTTGTGACCATTTGTATATCTTTGGGGAAATGTCTGTATTTTGTTTTGTTTGTTTGTTTGTTTGTTTTTTGAGACAGGATCCCACTTTATAGTTTAGGCTAACCTTACAAGATACATGAGTTACAAACATTTTCCCCATTCTATGTATTGGCTTCAGTTTCTTGATGGTGTTCACATTTTGATGCTCTCCAGCCCCCACCCCTTTTTTTCTTCTCTCTCTCTGTGTGCGTGTATGTGTGTGTGTGTGTTATCCAGGACCTTTGCACTGAGCTATATTCTCATGCCTTTTAACGTATTTATTTTGTTTTTAATACTATAAGCTTTATTGATACTTTGCTTTTACAGTTTGCAATGCATTCCATAGATTTAGTTCTATACAGCTTAAACCACAATGGCATAAGTCTTCAGTTTATAATAAACGTATTTATTTATTTATTTATTTATTTATTTAGTTTTTTCATTTTGAGATGGGGCATCACTTACTGTGTTGCTGAATTGCCCAGGTTGGCCTCACATGAGATTATTCCTGCCTTGGCTTCTCAGAGTGCTAAGATCACACCATGGGCCAATGTGCCCTGCCTTGTGTTGCCTGTACTTTTACCGTTGTTTCTAAGAGTCTGTTGTTAAGTACAGGATCATGAAGATTCATGCCTATATTTTCTTCTAAGAGCTTTATAATCTTACCTCTTGGACTTAGGTCCTTGTTCCATTTTGAGTTAATTTTTGTGTAGGGTATAAAGTCAGGGTTGAAATTCATTCTTTTGCATGTGGAAATCCAGCTGTCTCAGCACTGTTTGTTGGAGAGACTGTTCTTTTCCTCACTGAATGGTTTGGTACATAACATCTTAATATTTGGGTAAGTGTAAATTAAAGGCACAATGAAATAGCACTACATACCTGTTAGACTGGCTAAACACTGAGCATACTAAGTGTTGGCCAAATTTGGAGGAACTGTTCTTTGCAGTGTAAAATGGTGCACCCAGCTTGACAGTAAACATACATCTTCCATTTTCTCCAGCCATTTCATTCTTAGGTATTTACCCAAGAAAAACGAAGGTATACGTTTCTACTTTGCTCAGGAGTGTTCACGGTAACTTTGTTTTTGATTTTTTGTGGGTTTTTTTTTTTTTTTCTTTTCCTGAGACAAGGTCTCACTATGCAGTTCAGGCTGACCTTGTACTCACTGTATAGGCCAGTCTGGCCTCAACCTTGCTGAGATTCTCCTGTCTCAGCCTCAGGAGTATTGGGATTACAGACTTGCATCACCATGTCTGGCTGGTAACTTTGGAAGGTCAGTTTCTCATGATTACCACCTGCCTTGCAGTCCCAAATGGAACAGCTGTCTGAGATCTGTTTCTCTAGCTATGTCTTAGTTGGTCAGTTTTAGTTATTATCTATTGACTTCTTAGTATGATAGTGAAGTATTGAGCTCCCTTTCACCTACAACTATTTTATATCCTATATCTTTTCCATTTGCTAATATTACATGTAAAAAAAAATCAGTAACCATTGGGAGCAAAGTTGTTATCATTATTCACAAAACTTTTTGTTTTTCTTGCCACATCCTGTATTCATTGTTATGTCCTGGGCTTCTGCAGCCGGTAAGTCTGTCTGCTTCTTGTCCTCTGGTGACCTGACCTCTGCCTTCTCCACCTTTGGGCTCTAACCCTGACGGGTTGTAGGGTTAGGCTGCTACCAGCCCCAAGGAGCTGTTTTCCTGGAACTCAATTATGATTTCTCTCTGTTTCCTGTCTCTCAAATCTTTGTTTTTGTTTCTTCTGGGTTTTTGTGTGTTTTTTGTTGTTGTTGTTGTTTGTTTGTTTTTTGAGATAGACTCTCCCTTTGTAGTTCAGGTTGGCTTTAAACTGTGATGATCCTCCTCCCTCCGCCTCCAAGTGCTAGGGTAGCAGGTGTGCGCTACCATGCCTAACATCATACATTTTGAAAGAGTACCTAAGTACATGTATTAGAGGGCTTTTGAGTCCTTGTCATGTCTGATGACCTTATTGATGTCCTGATTGGTGACCTTATTCCCCGTCACACCTTACTGATTAGTGTAACATTTTTCTTGCGAATTTCAAGGATGGCTTTGTGCCATCGTCTTCCTTCGTCCAGTGCGTCTCTTCCCTACTGATGTCACCACGTTTTTCCTTGCTGGAGGCTTTTAGGATCTATTTTTTATTTTTTGTGTTAATAAATTATTGTTATGTTACACATTATTGCATTTTTTTCTCTTGCCTCTAAACATTAGAAATTGTTTTGTTTGATTTTTGAAGATTTCTGTTTCTTACATTATCTCCTGGGTTCTTGGGTTTTTTTTTTTTTTATTGTTGTGGTCTTTCTCCTTTATGATGGAGGATTTTCTTTATTATTAGGTGATCTTTGGCTATTATCTATTAAGGATAAGACATTGCAAAGCTCATATTCCTTGTGTAGGCATTGGAAAAAGTCTGGACAGATCTACTAAGTTCTAACAGTTGTGGGAGGGTAGATTGTTTTAAGATTTTGAAAAAAAAGATTTTGGTAACAAACCTGAATCGCCTTTACCAGTTTTTAAAAAGCTTTCATAATGTTACCTATTGCTGTGTAGCAAATTGCTGCAAAGCTTGGCTATTAAAAACACACATTCTTCAATGACAGAGTTTTGGTGGGGGTGGTGCCAAGAGTTTGGGAGTGGTGTAGCTTTCTGGTTCAGCTCAGAGTCTGCGATAAGGCTCTGTCACCAGGCCAGCAGAGATTTGTAGGCTCAACTGTGGCTGAAGGATTTGCTTCGAACTTTCTCATACTGTTACTCAGTCTTGATATCTT